AGCTTCTTAAATATGATTCATTTTATCGATAAACTCTCCCATGTGATCATTTTCAAAGTGTACATGTTTCTTTTGGGGTCAATCTACAAATTCAAGTCCAGTTTATTTAAGATGATTGAGTGCTTGGTATGGGATGGGCATCGTGTAAGTGCCTTGTTCTCATTAGTTCATTTAACTTTCTATATCCTATGAACCTACTATTGTTATCGACTGGAAATCTGAGAACTGCAATTAATTTAGTGCTTCTCTAGCTTTAATATGTATAAGAATAATGTGAGTATTGTGCTCAAATCTTGGTTCTGACTCAGTAGACTTGAGGCTGGAGCTTGAGATTCTGTTTGTTGGGAATCTGCTTGGATAATGCTGATTATGCTCTTTCCTGTATGCCATGTTGATCAGCAAGGGCTCCAACCACCTGCCTAATCCTTAGGCTAGTATGGGGCAGGGTCATGATTTGAACCCCAGCAGTCTGAATTCACATGTGGCCATTGCACTTAGGATATTTTATACGTTTGTTCTCCTGGTCCAGACTTTCCAAGTGTCTTGTTTGTGCTCTATCCCCACGTGGGCACTATGTCAAGACGGTCAGGTCTGTCCTCCCTGCCTTAGGGCAGAGATTCAGAGGACTCCAAGTAGAAAGAAAGGAATATTTCCTCTCCATAAATTCACAGTCTGGTGCTCCTCAGGCCAATTGTTATATTAGTATGTGTTTAGAATTTGACATCCACACTTAAAAATCCTTGAATTATATACAACAATATAGATTGTTGGTTTCTTCTAAAAACTTGCAAAGTCAAAGAACAAAAATCTACCCTTTTCCAGCAGAGCGACCAGCTGAAGCTTGCACTGCCAGTTGCCTTCTGAAGGGACAGAGTCCCAGTGGGCCATGGTCCCCATCTTGTCCAGATGACTAATTCCCATTATGTAATTTCGTAGGGATGGGGTAAATGGGTAAAATGAAACAGGAGAAATATCAAAGAAGTCATTTGGGGCCCGAGGGAGAGCTCCATACCTAAAAACCACGTAGGCAGGAATACCAGCTAGGATTAGGGATCAAGGCAAGGAAATGGAATAATCTGGAGGCTGCCACGCCCTCATTTGAGTGAGCAGAACTGAGACAGAGGATTATGAAGCCAGCATCTCACAAGGGCTTCTTCCCACAGCTCTAGCATCTTGTCTTATGCAGGAGTGAGGCAAGAGAGGATGGGAGAAAGCCCAGGACTTGGCTTCACTCTCTCTTCCCCTGACATACTCATGAGAACAACTCTTCTATAAATACCCCAATTTGCTTGTTAACAAAGAAAGGTAGGGCCCTACATTCCCAATAAAGCTATCATGGGAGCAAGGATAATCCCTTTGTCCCTTGGGACTGAATAGAGCTCAGTGGAGATCCTTTGGAGTAGTAGCAGTGCTTTTCCTTGAGATGGACTAATGGTAAAAATGGCCACCCTCCCTGTGTCCAGTCTCTCTTACAACTTGGCTTTGCATGTCTGCTCATCAGGAGTTGGGGTTTATTTCTCCACTACTTGAATCTAAACTGGCCTTGTGATTTGTTTGGCCAGAAGAATGTGAAAAAGTAACCTGTCAATTCCAACTGTAGTTCTCCTGATGTCTGTATGTGTGTGCCCCTGGAACCTTGCCTGCTACCATCAGAAGCATCAAAAGCAGGCAAAACTGCTAGGGAATAAGAAGCCCAGGATACAAAGATCAACCATTCCAGCTGTAGCCTCCAACGATCACAATTCCTTGGCTGGCCTAGCAGCTGATAGAAGATGCTTGAGTGAGCCCAGCCAAGACAAGAAGAACTGCTCAGCTGAGCCCAGCCCACATTGCTGACCCACACATCCTGAGCCAAAATACTGTTGTTTTAATCCACTAGGCTCTGTGCTGGTTTTGTTTTTAGGCATTGAAAGCTGAAACTCCACTTAGCACATCACATTAGTTTTCTAGGATGCCTGTAATACAATGGCTTAAAACAACAGAAATTCATTCACTCACAGTAGCAGAGACTAGAAAATTAAAATCAAGGGGCCAGCAGGGTTGGTTTCTGCTGGAGGCTCTGAAGGAGAATGCACTCCATGCCTCTGTCCTGGTTTTTGATGGCTGACTCCTATGTATTTCTTGGCTTGCAAACAACACTCCAATATTTGACTCTGTGATCACATGATATTCTCTCCTCTGTGTTTTTCCCAAGTTTTCTCAGCTTGTAAGGACACTAGTCATTAGATCTACCCTAATCCAGTAGGACCTCAACTTGATTATATCTTCAATGACTATTTGCAAATAAGGTCATATTTACAAGTACTAGGGGCTAGGGTTTCAACATACCTTTTAGGGGGAAAAATTGAATTCCTAATATATACTCTGGAATCCCTCATATTGGAAAAATCATTTAGGGTTCCAGATAATATCTACTAAAAGAATCTTTGGAACATCAACCATTGGCAAGGTGTGCCTCCTTTCTGTATATACTTATGGGTTTGAACTGAGATTGTGCTGTTTTGTCAGGTTTGGTGGATAGATCAGAGACTTTGGAGAGGAAGAAGGAAATATTTATTCAGGAGAACTACAGTTGGCATTGGCAGGTTACTTTTTTCACATTCTTCTGGCCAAACAAATCACAACGCCAGTTCAGATTTAAGTAAGTAAATTGTTTCATTGAATCCTTATAATTACCCTTTAATGTAGGCATACAAATCCTTTTTCATAGCTCAGAGATGTTGATAAGTTTGCTTAAGTCTCACAGTAAATACATCCTGTAACCCACATTTGAATGCAAGTCCAAAACATGATATTTCTATTGCACTCAGGTGCATTTCCATTGGTGTCGGAAGATCTGAGTTGTCTTGGTTCATATTCTACTAAGTTATGCTATCTTCAGTCAGTCTCTGAATTCTGTCAAATTATCCCTTCTTTAAAACAAAGCTGGCCAGCGCCGCGGCTCACTAGGCTAATCCTCCGCCTAGCGGCGCCGGCACACCGGGTTCTAGTCCCGGTCGGGGCTCCAGATTCTGTCCCGGTTGCCCCTCTTCCAGGCCAGCCCTCTGCTGTGGCCAGGGAGTGCAGTGGAGGATGGCCCAGGTGCTTGGGCCCTGCACCCCATGGGAGACCAGGAAAAGCACCTGGCTCCTGGCTCCTGCCATCGGATCAGCGCGGTGCGCCGGCCGCAGCGCGCCGGCCGCGGCGGCCATTGGAGGGTGAACCAACGGCAAAAAGGAAGACCTTTCTCTCTGTCTCTCTCTCTCTCACTGTCCACTCTGCCTGTCAAAAAAAAAAAAAAAAAACAAAGCTAATACATGTCATAATCAGGGTTTTTTATGAGTATCTAGAAAGATGAAGTAGAGGGCTGGCGCTGTGGCTCACTTGGTTAATCCTCCACCTGCGGTGCTGACATTCCATATGGGCCCCAGGTTCTAGTCCTGGTTGCTCCTCTTCCAGTCCAGCTCTTTGCTGTGGCCCAGGAGGGCAGTGGAGAATGGCCCAGGTGCTTGGGCCCCTGCACCCATGTAGGAGACCAGGAGGAAGCTCCTGGCTCCTGGCTTCGGATGGGTGCAGCACCGGCCGTGGTGGCCATTTGGGGAGTTTTGGGAGTGAACCAACAGAAGGAAGACCTTTCTCTCTGTCTCTCTCTCTCTCTCTCACTGTCTGTAACTCTACCTGTCAAATAAATAAAAAAAAAAGAAAGAAAGAAAGATGAACTAGAATGTAGTGGCAGGGACTGGGTTTGAAGGCTTGAAAGCCTTAATTGGAGCCTTACCTTTAACTACACAACTCTGATTTCAAACTTTAATTTCTTTACCTGTACAAAGGAGTTAATAATATTCCCCATCTCTAAGGTTTATTGCAATGATTAAATAGGATTATATAGGTAACACATTTAGCTCAGTGTCTTGCCATAGTAAGCTCTCAAATATGACCTATAATTAGGTATTGCAGTCTCTAAAGTGGCAAGTTCTAATTAATGTCAATTATTAAGATTGAATTTTATTTTGGGCTCAATGGAATCATGTGCTCTCTGAAGCCAGAATGATTCCTCTGGGATTGTTCAAGCCAGATTTGACTGTAACTCCTATCTCCGCACAACCTGAAAGGCAGGCCTGCCCTGTCGGCTGGAGGTTTTCCACATAGGGGGATCAGTGCGCCACTGCAGAGTTTCTGGAAGTGGAGGAAGGGCTGTCAGCCTGCTTTAGGCTGTTTGAGATCTCAGAGTCTCTGACAAGTCCCTCATTAGCTCATCCTTGTTTGCACGCTCTGTGACCTGTGAAGGCTCTGTGGGTCTGTGGTTGTTCCAAGTTATCACATGGCTAGCTTCCCCAGACCTGTTTAAGCTTGAGTGACTCAGGGCAAGACCAAGTGCCTATCAAAGTCCTCACCACGGTACTCTAATAGACCTTGCAAACATTTGTCTGGCTTCCCCTGCTAGCCCACTTGGGGATCCCTCATTTGTAATCTTAGCCTTTTCTCCTACATATTTACATGATTTCTCCCTCATGCAATGGCTGATACCTGCACAGGGCTCAGGTTGCTGGCCATACCTATAGTCCCCTGTGACAGAAGTCACTTTATGTATAAATGTTGATGCTTTTTCAGCCAGTGTTGTGGCACATCAGGTTAAGCCACTGCATGTGTTGTTGGCATCCCATATCAGAGTGCTGCTTTGAGCCCTGGTTGCTCCACTTCTCTTCCAGCTCCCTGCTAATGTGCCTGGGAAGGCAGTAGGAGATGGCCACAGTCCTTGGGCCCCTGCTACCCATGCTGGAGACCCAGATGGAGCTCCAGGCTCCTGGCTTTGGCCTGGCCTAGCCCCAGACATTACGGCCATTTGAGGAGTGAGCGAGTGGAAGGAAGATCTCTTTCTGTTTTTGTATCTCTCCCCACCTCTGTCATTCTGCCTTTCAAATAAATAAAAATAAATCTTAAAAAATAAGCTCTTAATATTTTCTACCCACAAATTTGACCAGAACCATCTAGACCAGGGACTGATATCTGCACCCAGGAAGCTGCCAGCAGACTAAGGCAGTGTGGCTAAGATGTCTGACTAGGAGGGAGTTCTAGGCCTTGCAATGACCACAGGACCCAGTTATTTATCTGTCTTGAGGAGGCTGGACCTGAGCCACCTAGAGAAGAACAGGAGGACAATGGAACAGGATGAGCTTGGTCTCCCTTAGAGGAGGTAGGAAGCTGAATCTAGCGGAGAGCTGAAGCGAGGAGGCAGAGGGGTGGCCTGTGAGGAGGGAAGTGGGTAGAATCAGGAGGATGGTGGAGTACAGGGGCTGCCAAAGGGACCTCTACTTCTGTGACTATTATGTCAGCAGACTGATGCAACTAACTGCAGTGTCTGAGACATTCCAAATAGCAATGCAGCCTGTATTGTTTCATTCTTGGACTACAAGCAACAAAAATTAACTCTAGTAACTTGAGAGAAAGGGAAATACATTGGAAAGATATGAGAGGAATCTTCGAATCAAAGAGTAGCTAAAGATGAAACTCAGAACTTTTAAAGTGTTTTACTAATATATGGCGGTCTGGCTATATGGAGACGCAAGAGTCAGCCATCTTGTCCTCTGAATTCTGGCCCTGTGACTGCTGACACGGCTTCTTGTGCCTTCATCTTTGTATCTGAAAACTCCTGTCACCTGAGGGGACTTGAGCCTGTCTGCTAGACATGATCCTCCTTTATCTTCTCCAATTTTGCAATCTTACCCATTCTGAAGGTAAGTCAGGTTTGACATAGCTGTTAAGTTGCGTCTAGATTCACCTGTATTCCACTTCAAAGTATCTGGATTTGAGTCTCAGTGCCCTATTCCAGTTTCCTGCTATTGCTCTCGACAGGAGGCAGTAAGTAATGGCTCCAGTGCTTGAGTGCCTGCCACCAACATGGGAGCACTGGATGGAGTTCTGGGTTTCAGGCCTCAACATGGCCTGGGACTAGTTATTGAAAGTATTTGAGGAGTGACTCTGCGGTTGGACGACCTCATTCTCTGTCTCTGTTTTTCTGTCTCTTACTTCCTTTCAAGTAATTGAAAATGAATAAACATGCATTTTTTTCCAAAAGGACGCATCTGAATTTGTAGCATTTGCCATTATCCATGTCAAAAATCCTTCCGCCACAGCTGATTTCAAGCATGACATCACTAAACATGGAGTTAGGAAGTGATAAACAGCAACATACCATTACATAATATTTTCATCATCCAGCAACAGATATTATAGATGAAAATAATTTCCAGGACATAAATAACAATAAAACTAGGTTGATGAGCTGTGGAAGTTTATTACCCTTGCATTTAATATATTTTACTGTAAACTTTAATATTTAGTAATGGCTGAATTCAATGACTCATGAAATTCAGGAATATTTAGAAACTGACTCTTGCAAACTTGTAGCCAATTCTAACACCCTCATTGTATTTCATCTCCCACCTCCCCAACTCACCTGCTTCACTGAGTGAGTATGCAGTTGGAAAAACAAGTTTTCTGCTTTTATTTCTGTGGAACTAAGGAACTGAGTCCTGGCTGCTGCATTTCAATTTCCTGTATTCTCCGGCACTTCCAGTTCTACCATGGGGTCCCTGCTTGACTTGGTGCTGGATAGCAGAGACCACTCTCCCCTCAAACTCTCCTGCTCCTTCCAACTCCACACAAGCTGCAGGAGTGAGTGTGTCTTCCATTAATGAATAGTTGTGGTGTAAAGGAAGTTATAATGTTGGGAGGGAAAATCTAAAAGCTATATGATAATTTTGGCTTTCCCAGAGTCTAAAGGAAAACAAAAATCTTGAAATCTTTTGCTTTTTAAATGTTTTTTTGTTGTTGTTGTTGGTTTTTTTTTTTTTTTTTTTTTTTTTTTTTTTTTGACAGGCAGAGTGGACAGTGAGAGAGAGAGAGGCAGAGAGAAAGGTCTTCCTTTTTGCCGTTGGTTCACCCTCCAATGGCCGTTACGGCTGGCGCGCTGCGCTGATCTGAAGCCAGGAGCCAGGTGCTTCTCCTGGTCTCCCATGGGGTGCAGGGCCCAAGGACCTGGGCCATCCTTCACTGCACTCCCTGGCCACAGCAGAGAGCTGGCCTGGAAGAGGGGCAACCGGGACAGAATCTGTTGCCCCAACCAGGACTAGAACCCGGTGTGCCGGTGCCGCAAGGCAGAGGATTAGCCTAGTGAGCCACAGCGCCGGTGCTTTTTAAATGTTTTTAAAATTATTTTTATTTATTTGGAAGGTGAGGAGAGAGAGAGAGAATATCTCCCAAGCACTGGTTCACTTCCCAAATGCCTGCAACAGCTATGGCAGGGCCAGATGTAGCCATGAGTCTGGAACTCAGTCCAGAACTCCTATGTGGATGGCAGGGACCTAAATACTCGAGTCATCACTTGCTACCTCCCAAGAGGCTGAATCAGAAGGGGAGCCAACACTCAAACTAGGCCATCTGACATACAAATGTAAGCGTCTCCAACAGCCTCTTCACCACTATGCCAAATGCTCACTCCAAATCTTCTGTTTTAAATTCAAGGATTATTTATTTGACATTTACTTTGTATCAGGTATCATGTTAGATCCACTGAAAAAGTAGACATATCTCATACTTCAATTTGACTATCTTGTCCTTTTTTTTTTTTTTTTTTTTTTTTTTACTTTCTTACAACCTGTGTTTTCTTCTCTCCCTACTATGAACTAACCTGTGCTCTCTGCTCCCCAGGAGGATCTTGACCACAGCATCTTCACCTTCTAGAATCCTCTACCCATTTTTGTATAATTCTGTCTATGTCACGATCTCATGGAATATGGGTGAAGATGAGGTTTTCTAGAACATACTGATGCCATTTGACACCCTGGATTCCACAGCCAAGGCTGGCCTAAGGTAGGTTTATGGTTCTAAATCTTACAGAAAATTTCAGGGCTACATAAGCTTTCTAGGCATATCTGTGGGGATCACACCCTGACACTGAAAAATTATAATCACATCTATTTATTCTCTTTCATAGTTTGTAAGAAAATATTTACTTATTACCCTACACATATCTTTGGTTGGAAAAAAAGCATGAATTCTATGTCACTAAATCCCAAACCCATAATTAGGAATAAAATGTTCACTTGGTGACCTTAGGTAACTTGTAAGATACCTTGCCATGGAGTCAAAAAGTCCCATTGTTGTACTGAGAAGTTGAGTTCCTTTATTTCACCCCATTATTACTAAATTACACATTACAGGAGTAAGAAACGAACCCATTGGTGATCTGAACTCCTCCTTGTAACCTCTCACAGGAGCAGATCCAGGTAAGAGAGCAAACTGGGATTCAAATGTGAAGGGAAGAGTGATGAAAGAAGAGGCAGACCTTATTGTGAATGAGCTAACCTTTCAGTGGGAAAAACCCAGATGTACAAACGAAAGGCCATGACATAGAGTGATAAATGCCATAATGGAGCATGGAGTAAATGGCGTGGAATCACAGAATGGGGCTGTCATCCTTGCAGACAATGTGGGAGAGGTAGGGAAGACTTCACATTGATGAAGAGGTTTGCTCCTAAACAAGTAAGAGTGGAGGTAAAGGGTGTGCAAGGCACAGCAAACTGCATGTACCAAGATACGGAGGCCTTTAAGCATGTGTACAACCTACTCTGATTACAGTGTATGTGTAGATGCTTGTGTGAATTTCATGGGATGAAGTGTTGAAGAATGGGACTAAAATATATAGAGCAAGTTCCCAAAGATATCTGAATATGCTGAAGAATTTGGACTTTATTTTGTAGATTTTTTGCCCTGGAAGTTATTGCCAATTAGTATCTTAGAGTAGGATCATAGATAACCTGTTTAGTACTGTTGAGTGTAGTGTATTAGAGACAGCCCAGAGGCAGGGCTCAGTTGGGAGGCTGTTACAATAACCTAGTTTTGAGAGATGAAGACCTGAACTAGGGTGGCTGGCATGGCAGCTAAGCATAGAAAACTATGGATTCACACTTCACAGAAAATAAAGAATTAAAGAAGAGGCAAAGAATGCTTTAAGTTTTCCTCAGTGAACCTCTTTCAGGTGGGTGGTGATTCTGTTAGCATAATGCAGGAAGAGCAATAAGTACAAGAAATACACTGATAAGTGGATATAAAGTACCTGGAAGACATCGAGATAGAGATGTGCAAGCCTTCAGTTCCAAATGAGGTGTGGAATCCAGAAGAGAGATCAGAATGAGAGGTCTATAGATTTGAGAATCATGGGAACATAGATATGTGCTCTCCGGAGGCAGGGTTGATTTTTTGGGGGGTGGGGTGGGGGGAAGGATTGATTTTTAAAATGAAAACTTTGTGAGCATGTCCAACGGTAAACGTTTAAAATTTAGACTTTGAAGCCGGAAGGTTAGCCTTATTCTCACACACTGTCTTTAGAAAACAAGAACATTTGAAAGCTTTTGTATAATCTGATTAAGAGCTAAATAAGAAGAGGCAAGGGGTTAACAATTAGTGGTTTAACATCACATTTACCTAAAGCTGAAAGGGTTTTTCCAAAGATCTTAAAGAAACCCTTTGTGAAGCCTGTAACAAGAGGGCTGGGCTTGCAGCTCAAAGTTAACACATCCACCATCCTCTGTGCCCATTCTTGTCAGTGTTTGTGCTCAGCATTCTGTCATACCTAAGCACCAAGACGACTCTCCTCCACTTTCATCTGGGAGAGAGCTAGTTCCCTGGTGGTGTGGCTCCATCAGGAAGCTGTACATTTTTTATTCCAAATGACACTATGGTCTATAATATGACTTCTCCTAGGAGGTGACATCACTCCAAAGGAAGCAAAAATGGGCTCTTGTGGTAGAGGGACAGCTTAGCAGTTATGATGATGTCTAACCCTTCAAAGGATTACAGTTTATAAACATAGAGGACACCTCTGAAAATTTCATCATGAGGGACAATGTGGGGAAACTGCTAAGTCTCTAAGGAAAACTAGTGATAATAATAACAATAATAGTATTAATAATAAAAATTTTAAAGCTGGGAAACACTGGGTTATGAAAGAGTACTTAGACATACACCAGAATCCTTTAATTTCCCCAAGAAGAAAGAAATCACATTAGGAGTTAGAGGGTTTGAGTTATAATATCTGCCACTAATGAGCATATTTATTTGTTTATTCTTCAAATACTTACTGACCTGTGTACTATGCTCTGACCTGTGTACTAGACTCTGGAATGATAGTGATCAACAGGGCAATATTCCTGTTCCCATGCAGTTTATATTTGAGAATGGAGCAGGCATTAAATGAGCTCCAAATATCTCTCCATGATAATAATGATGATAATAAATATAATTATAATAGCTATAGAGAGTAAATCATTATTCATTATAAAATGTTTAATAATAAGTGCTATATAGAAATTTTAAGAGGACAAGAGAAGTGAAAGTTGTAATGCATGAACAGAGAAGGTCCCCTGAGATGGTGGCTTGTGAGCTGAGTTGAATGTTTAGAAGGATGGAGTCTTGCAAAGATCTGGGAGCAGAGTTTTCTGGGCAGGACAGAGGGTCTTAGGTTGGCAGGAGCTTGTCATGTTTGAGGAATAGCAAAAGGTTGACATGACTGAAGTCAACTGGGCTAGGGAGAAAGAAACAGAAGACCAATCAGCCAGGGCCATATCACTCTGGACCGTGCGCGTAGTAAGGAAGACCTCAACTTTATTCTAAATGCTGTGTGACTAGTGAGCGTTTGGCCTAGGGGTTAAACTGCAGATTGGGATGCCTGCATTTCATATTAGAGTGCGTGGGTTAGAGCCAGCTCAGCTCCTGATTCCTGCTTCTTGCTAATGTGTGCCCTGGAAGATAGCAGGTGATGGCTCAAGTACTTGGGACCTGCCATCTATGTGAGAGATCTGGATTGAGTTCTGAGCTCCTGGCTTTGGCCTGGCACAACTGTGGCTGTGGCAGGCATTCAGGGAATGAACCAGTGGACAGGAGCTCTGTCTTTCTGTCACCTCACCTCCCTCCATCTGAAATGAATAAGTACAATTTTTTAAAAAAGTGCTGTGTGAATTCGGGTGATTCATTCCACTCAAGTGGCAAGTGTGAGGTGGTGTGATTAGAGCAGCTGAGGCTGTCGTCTTCCGGAATGCTGAGAGTAACCTCATTTAATTCAGGACCTGGGAGAGATGCCTTGAGTGTACAGTACAGGCAGTAAGGCAACAGAATCAGCCTCAGAGGCGTATGCTCGGCATTCTGGTGGAGACAAGGAACGAGTGAGAAACACTCAGGGTCTTTTTCTCCAAACCGGAGTCGACCCTCCATCCACCTGCAGTTGTTGAGGTGCACGGGCTCACTCTGATCATCTGTTTCTTACTCTGGTGCCTTGCACAGGTTTAGAGGTCAGCAGCCTTGGGCTCTGCAAGCCCATCTGTTAGTAACTACGTGACCGGAGCCAGGCCATTCCCGGATCTGGGCCTGCAGACCTTCATCTGGGGACCATCATTAAGATTCCTCCTAGAGCACAGACTCTGTGATTCTATTATTTTCCTCATTGCCAGAGCTGGGGAGGAGCCGAAACCCCTGCATGCAGGCCCACCAACACTGTCCTAAAATAATAAAGCAATTTCCTTTGAAATGGTTGAGAAGCAAAGTCGAGAGGCCCTTGCAGAATATGACAAAACCCAGTCCCAGCTGAATATTAAGTTAGAGAGGGGTCTGCAACTGGGGTGGGGGCTGGAGAGAGACGGGAGATGCAGGGTGGGGAGAGAGAAATTTTAATTGCAATTGTGTGGCCTGCTGATCTTAGGCAAATGACAAGAAGCCCCAAGCAGCCTCAAACATAGATATTTGAAAGGCAGAGACGGCTGGGGGTGGTTTGGTTTCTCCCTCCCCTTGGAGGCTGTTTGAGGAGCGGTCTACAGTGCTGACAAGCATGGGTTTTGGAGGCCATTGAAAAGTTTTGGGCCTAAATAGGGTAGGCAGCTTGGCTTAAGTGTTGCTAGGAATACCTGGCAACCGGCAACAATAGGCCTTTTAGAGAATCCAGGGCAAACAGTGACCGTGGTAATGGGTGGGCTTAAGGGTCTCCTTGCCCGGCTGGGCCCCTCCTCTCCTCACAGAGGCCTGGGCACTGGGCTATGTTCCGGAAATTCCCCGCACAAAGCCCCATTCAGTGGGAGGAGGGCCAATGCGTGTGCTTGAGGGGGAGTGGGGCTGGAGACAGGGGGTAGTGAGCAGGCAGGGGCGGGGGTACGAGAGAAGGAGCTTTACTGCCAAAAAAAAAAAAAAGCCCTCTCAAGTCTCTTTCTTCTTGCAAAGACTAAAAGAGCCACAGAAAGTGCTAAGTTTGTAAAAGAGGCTGAGAAGGTTCAGAAAAGTAGCATAAAAGGGTCTAGGGAACGCCCCGTGAATTTTGAACAGAGAGTAGAAAAGGGACCCTAAAAAGCAATTAGTGATGCTGCTTGTAAATGCAGAGGCAACTCGCTGGCGTGGGGAGTGCAGCAGTGGAGGTAGGTGCAGAGGAGTGAGTGGGAGCTGGGGGAGGCACTGGGAGCAGGTAGGAGGAAGGGAGTGAGGTGGGAGTGGAGGTGTGGAAAGCGGGGAACTGTGGCCCCAGGTCCTACGTTGGCCACAAGCCTTCTGTGTGCTCTTGGCTGATTTTGTACCCTGGTAGGGCAGCCCCGGACAGGCAGGGGAGCCTGGGACAGTGACTGGCACCCAGGATCTGGGCTCCCTCTCCGGTCCCGTTGGTCCCTGGTGACCACAGATGAGGCCTCCGCATTCTGAGTGACTGGAGAGTGCTCTCTCCGCGCACTACTGAATGAGTGGCAGGATGCTCCCGGGAGCTGGTTGTCTGCCTAAGTTCCTGGGGGAGGCTCAGATGACAGCCAGAGGAGGAAGGCGAGGGAGCCAACAAATTAGCG